AAGTCCGCTCACCCGCTTGCACACATTTATCATATTTAGCACCTTGTAAAGAGCCCTGGTGACCCGAAAGAAACCGCAAACAGCTTGAAGATGGCGGGAGAGGATGAGGAGGAGACAGGATGAAGACACACCTGTTATTAGCTTTCCTCCAGACGGCGGATCAGATGGAAGCTGATACGGTTGGACTGGAGAAGGAGTGGCTGGATGGGAAAGGGGGGAAGATGGGAGATCCTTGGAGGGAAAGGAGGAGATTGTGGAGCATTAATAATGAACGGCGGGTCCTTGGAGACCATGTTCACACATTAATAATGAATCACATTCAGCTGGATGGCCAAACTAACATCTCGGCACAACTTAAGGGGAGAAACAGCAGAAAATTGAACGTGATGCTTTAGGGTGAATTTGGAAAACTTTTTACTTTGTAAAAATATTCATATCACATTAAAACCTTAAACTTCAATGCATTTTATTGGGACTTTATGTGATTGACCAACAGCATAGTCCCTAATAAATGAAGTTTAGGCCAACTCTGTGCTGTGATACCCTGACCAAAAATCCAGTAAAATAAGGACAGGTATTTACTTGTATGGCATATTTTAGCTGCAAAACAATTCAAAGAGGATTACATGATGAAAACTTACAATAAATGACCCAGAATAGAGACTAAAACTAAGGATGTTCCAGCTATTATTAATCAAAGACACTCTAAAAAAGTGTTTGTTTGTTTTTTTTGTAAAGAAACGCAGTGTTTCAGCAGCTTTGCAGTTTTTTTCCAGATTAGTGAAGCATAAAAACTGAATGCTGCTTCTCCATGTTAGGTTCTAATTTTGAGGATGCAGACCAGACCAGAAGACCTGAGGCCTCTCAGGTCTCATTATCACTTGGTGATAATGTAAGGTAGAGCTGTGTGTCATCTGCATAATTATGCTAACTTATCTGTTATGAGTTAGTGGAACATGTGGATATGGAATGACAAAGGAAACTTTGGATGTGATTTTTTTTTTTTTTTTTAATCACCAGACAACAGATTTGTTTCACTTTGAAGCCACTTCATAAAATCCTGATAAATTATTCAAAACTTTTGGGTTGGGACGAAATGTGGAAAAGTTCAAGGGATTGAAAATACTTTTGTAAACTATAATATAGTAAAATATGTATTTAAACTAAAAAAAACAGCAACTAAACATCAGGTTAAACGTTGTTCAACTTAAATAATGATTATGAATGACTTCCAGAGTGGGATTTAAAACTGGCTGTTTTCGTAGATTATTCTTTTAGGAATCATTTTGTCGTATCTGTGGCGAAATGATTCCTAAAAAAGGCCAGAGTTGGAGTTAGAAACGTTCCCAGAAACATGTTTCTGCTCACAGTAATTGAAACAAATGAACACGGAGAGTCTGGGGGGACTGCCAGGTTTTACCCAGAGAAGGACCCAGAGACACAAGCACACATTAACTTCTCAATTACCTCATTTTCCCTCTTCGTCTCTAACATCTTCCCGTCGCTATTTCACACACACTCCCTCATTGGGCGTGTACACACACTCACGCACAAGCAAATGAGCTGCTTGCTTAAAACAAATGGGCGGCCCTGATGTTGATTTGCTGTCATTTGCTAACAAAGACCTCAGCTTGTTTCCCCTTCATCCCTCTTTATCAGCCTCTTCTTCTCCTTGCTCTAGCTAGAATGGGGGTGCAGTGCCGAGAGACACACACACAAATCGACAAAAACATGTGTATTGGGCAACGGGAACACACACACACACACACGCACACACACAAACTGTTCTGGGGGTATAATTACAGCACGGAGGAATAATTACACAGCCTGGTTCCTGTTGTTGTTTCCAACAAATAAACCAGTAAACAAACAAGATGGAGGGTGAGAGAGAGGTCAAGGGACCTCGTGTCTGTGCGCATTCCGTTTCACAAACGTTTGTTCGTCGCATCACCTGCAACATCGCTGGCAGCACACTGGTGCAAGGGTGCCCAAAGGTTTGTCATGTGAAAGTTTCAGAGTTTTCCAGAGTCAACTTTCAACTCCAATTATTAAATATTTTTTGTATGAGAGGTGTTTCCACAGTGGGCAGGTTTTAATTGTGGAACCACACAATAAAGGTTTGACACCATGATCACAGGTAAATCAAGATTGATTGATTGATCAATTGGTTGAATGATTAGACATAAGAGAATAAAAGAAGCAATAACACAGGAAAAGAATTGACATAAGATACAAGAAAAAAGGGAGAAAGGAGACAAGGCAAAACGAGACAAGGCAGGGGGAAATAAAAGTTAGCTCAAAACATCAAATCTTGGTGCTTCCTATCAAACGCTGAGGTTAGCCATCAAATGCTAATGCTAGCTATCAAACCCTGCATGGCTAAATCCCCAAGAGTCGAGATAAGGAAGATGTTGAATGTGACCTTCTGTGTGCTAACATGGCTTCCACTGTGAGTATTAAATGAATCTAAGGCATATTCAATGTTTGCTCAAATAAAATAGGCAGTTGTTACTGTTTTTTACAGATTCCAGCAATTCATTGGCATTTATCATAGGAAGTTAGAAGCATCAACAGACAAGTAGAAGTGAACATTTTATAGTTGTGGCTTCACTGGAAATTTATTGAGTTTCATTTAACAACATCCTGGGTTTCCACTTTATTTTGAGGATTTAATTATGATGCCAATTCCTCCTCTCTGCCAGTAGTTCCACTTCCTTTGCTGTCTCTAAACTTCTTTAATGTGCTCACAAACAGAATTTCCTAAAGCAGCCGGTGCCCAGGCAGTCACCTGCACTGAAGGGAAATGGAGTGTGAGGTTTTTACTGGTGCTGTGATTATGGGGTACGGCTCAGGAGGAAATGTGTGTTTAGTTTGTTTATGTGCCATCAGACAGCAGGTGGCGGAGTCAGCACAGCACCTCTCGACCCACACTGGTTTGAGGTGTGTATCAAGGTGCAGGCGAGGGGCGGCGCCTGTAACATTTCCATCTAGACATCTCTAACAAGCAGACACTGACAGATACACATGTATTTAGGTTCGACTCCATCAATCCTGTTTTTTTGGTCAAATCGGATTCATCTGTGTGTGTGTATAGGCTGAGGAGGGTTATCCCACTGTGTTAGATAGAGAAAAAAGCAAGGGGGAGGGAGGTTCTCTTCCATGTAGACAAAAAAAGGCCGACATGAAAAATGCAGAAGTGAATGCGATGTGAGATGACTTTGTTCTAGTGGAGGGCCGAGTTCAACAGCAGATGAAGAGCTATTTCTTGCTGCAAAATCACAGCTTGGCGCAGGTCTCTGCCTTTCAGTTGTTTGCTTTTTATCTTTGGTTCTAACTCCCAGTCTGATTATCGATGGTATTCTCTCTCTCCTGCTCTTTATATTCTTTGGGTTTAATTCAAACTCACCTTCACTGATTTTCAAATTAAATAATTAAATAATTTAATTAAATAATTTGAAAGTCAGTGAATTTGGGCCCAAATTCCTTTTATTGAAGGAATTTGGGCCCACTTTCCTGCCCAGCATTGCAATGAGATTGCTCTTTATGCGTCTCAATCAGGCTGAGGTCATTGCAACACCTTGGTTTTTTTCTCACATAGCCATTGTGTTCTGGATTGTCTGCTGTGCTGGGGTCATCATCTTATTTAGAACCCAGCTCAGGTTGAGTTATGGTCATCTCTATGATTGCTATCTACATCACTAGCCCTCCCCCACCATACCTAACAGTTGGTATGAAGCACTGCAATGCTCAGCTGTTTTTCTCCAAACTTTGCTCTGTACTTACGGACTAGCGTCTCTACTTTGGTCTCGTCTGTTCAAGGACAATGTTCCTTGAGATTAAACTTTGCTTCCATTTCCTTTGTAAAAAGAATAGTAGATGTAGTTTGGTCCAAACACACTTCTAATTGTCCTGTCATAAAACTTACTTGTCCTCTAGAAATTCTCATAAAAGAAAGACGGTAAACGTTAGCTTTAGTGCTAAGCTAGTGAGCTTTAGTGCTAAGATGGTTATCGCTGTGTGTGTTGGCATTTGAACTATTAAAATATGCAGTTTATATGACTTTTTAGAGGGGGTCACCAGTATTCTGGGATTTCGGTGGGCAGTTGTAGTCCCTGAGGGAACAAAAACACTCAGTAAGTGAACACAACACTATAATATTATAATGTCAGATTTGTAGAACACTTTAACAAATCAGATCAAGACAGTGAGTTAGACACTAGGGATTTTATAACGGATCCTTCTGTCATATTTACAGTCTGAACACAGTGGCTATAAGCGAAAATATATTTTTTTTTACAATAACCATTCAAAGTGTGGAAAATAAGCCATCACTATTTGCAAAGTGTTATATAAAGTCTGAAAAATGTTGCTCGAGTTTTAATACTGCTTATAATAAATGAAGGAAGTAGTAAATATGTTGCAATATAAAGCACAACATTTAAAATAAACGATGCAGACAGGAAAAGAATCTTTTGGTAAAGCCAGATCCAGTCTAAGGCATAAGCAAACTAAGGTGTTACTTTGGACACCCAGGTCAGTAGGGGCCCTGGGTGTCCAAAGTAACACCTTAGTTTGCTTATGCCTTAGCAGCCCACAACTGCTTGACATCTGACACATAACACACATTTTGAAACTTCACATTGTTAGATATATTTATAGAAAATGAAACAATTTATGAATTCACCTTGAAGGTTTGAGATTAGAAAATAGACATTTGAAACCAAAATATTGTCATGAGTTGCGGTTGAGAGTCAGACGCAGAGACCCAGGTAAAAGTGAAGATGATGAATTTAATGATGAACAAACCAAAGACACAGCTCAACAGTCCAAACGATCAGGCAGCACAGTAAGCGAGAAGCTAAGCCAGACACTAGTAGCAACTGGTCTAAATAAAGAGACTGCTAACGAGAGCTGAAGCCGACACAGGACTTGGTAGTTCTACTGTGACGACGTACAAACATTAACTATACGACAGGGTAGACACGACAAGGATTCGACAAGAGACAGAGACAACATGTGACATTAAATAGTAATCACAGGAATGAGACACACCTCGTTCCAATAAAGGGAGGACAGGACAGAGACTCACATAAAACAGAACCAAAAATAAACACAGAGAAACTCAAATCACTGCAAATATAAGTTTTGTTGGATTGACAGGCCACATTCATTTCTCCTTTGCTAGCTTTACTGTCATACTGCCATGTTACAGATCATACAGCAAATTTAATATCAGACAGTCATAACCTGAAAATATACAGTTTTCAAATTGTTTCATTCGTTAAGAGAAAAAGTGATCCAAATCTACCTTACCCTATGTGAAAAGCAGCCAATCGAGACGCACCATTTATTTTCCTTGGCACTGATTGGCACTGTTTAAAGCAAGCTAAACCAGACTTAGACACTTGGATACTTCCTTAGGGAATGACAGGCAGCCCTCAAATTTTTAAAACTCAAACTTCTGAAGTTCTCCAGAAATATGAGAGATTAGAGATAATTTTGGAATTATTTTTTGATTGCAAATTAAAGTATATTTGGTACTTGTGTGATTAAAATGGGAAATTAAACGTGTTTTTAGTTCAGTTCTTTCTCTGTGATGCTAGTTTATTATGTTTACTTATGTTTCTTATGTCTAGTTGTTATTTAACGTGAGATTCATTTCCAAGTTCCCATTGTGCCCTCCTTCACCCCCGTGTTTTTCTCTCTCTCTTCTCACACCTACATCTCATCAGTGAGTTAGCCCATGTATTTTGTTCCACCATTCACTGTCTCAGTACTTCTACACCTTTTCTCCTTTGACTTCGCTGTGACTCCTTGCTACTTCTTGCTATATGAACAGCTTTGATGATGATGATCACTCCCTCCTTGTTTTTAAATGTTTTTAGAACCTCAGTTCAATAACAATCATCACTCCGGAGGATCGTCCTCTTGTTTGTGGCCCTCAAATCGTTTAGGGGCACAAACAGGCTCTTGTTTCTGAGTTCTGTGTTTTTTGCTCTGCCTTGGCTCCCAGTGCTCTTCATGGTTTTTCTTGAAAGTTTCTGTTTTTTATTAAATCTACTTGAAACCTCTGTCTCATGCATTTGGGTCCACCATCTATACACACAAAATGACAGCGATGTAGGACCTTAATGAGACAACCTATATAAATGAAGGCCAACCAAAAATCAATCAATCCATCCATCCATCCATCCATCCATCCATCCATCCATCCATCCATCCATCCATCCATTTTCTTACACCCTTATCCCATTGTGGTTGGGAGGGGCACTGGTGCTGTCAACGGGTGACAGGCGGGGCCACCCTGGACAGGTCGCCAGTTTATCACAGGGCAACACGGAGACAGACAACCATGCATGCACACACTGACACCTAAAGAGAATTTAGAAAAACCAATTAGACCGCCGGGCCAGAAATAAAACTCAGGATTGTGGGAAGGCCACAGTGCTACCAACTGCGCCACTGTGCAACCCGCCAACCAAACATAAAATTTTAAAATGCTGCTTCCTTCCTCACAAATTATTAAACAATTAACTGTTGGCTTACTAGTTAACCATTAAATGAAAAACAAGTTTACTCAGTATTAAAGTGAAGTGACTGGTTCTGTGTTGAAGTGATGGGTTAAACTGGGACACAGAGCAATCTGTGGTGAGGGTGAAACAAACTCTACTTCTTTTATTCATGAATGCATTGATCTTGTGCGACTTATTTACGGAAAAAAAAGTTAATAAAGCGGGTGTTTGTTAACTGTCCAGAGCTTATTCTAACGGACCAAAGGCTATAACCGTAATGCCTCGTGTAAACACGGCAACATCATTACTCTACAGTTTGATCCCTAAAGCAATGGCTACTTAAAACCTTGCTGAACTCCTGAACATGATTGTGTACAAAACAGCACGGGTCAATGAGCGGTTATTCAAAAATCAGCTTTCACTATGTTTGTTTTTGCTTTTTTCTTCTGTCTTTTTGCTCTTTGTTATTTGCGTTTGTTTTTTTATTCGGTCTCTCGTCATCCCTCATACTTCTGTTGGCTCTGATTCGGGGCACTGATGAAAGTATTTTGAGCAAACATGCTGATTTTTTTAGTTTCCATGGGGACCCAGGAAGCCTGACAATGTCAAAGAGGCTTCGACCAAAATCGTGCTGCCGCTGTCCTTCTTTCTATCCGTCCCGCTGAATCTCAGCTCATCTTTTAAACACTTTTCTCATTTCTTTACATTCCACTTTGCCAGCTCGTTTGTTTTTCCTCATTCATCCATTTGAGCAGCTCCATTTCTCCCGCTCCCCTTCTGCTGTCCTCGTCCCTCTCACTCGCTCTTATTCTGCCGTCACCCTTTGTTGTCGTCTGTGTGTGAAGAGCGGCGATAAATAAAGACAAACAGGGCGGATTTTGTTTGTGTGTTCTTTCGAGAGGAGGACGCCTGCTCTCTGATAGCATTGTTAGCCTCTCCACCGCTCCTCACTCCACTGCACAGGCTTTCTTCTCCCCCGCCATCCCTCCATCCGCCCTGACCCACAGCCAGTAAGGCGGCTTCGAGGCCAAGTTTAGGCCAGGACAGGGGCTCCACCGGGGGGCTGCAGGGAGCATCGTTGCTGGAGGCTGAGGACAGGATCCAAGCCAAGCTCTGGACCCCAGACCCTGATCTGGCTGGCCAGCCTGCACACAACAGGGCCTTGATGGCCGGACGCGGCGTCGGGGAGAGCGGGGAGGTGGAGGGCTGGAGGTCTCAGCAGTGGCAATGGCAGCAGCTAGATTAAGACCTTTTCTCCTAGAGTCACCACAATGGACAAAGTCTACATACACACATATACACACCACCTCTATTCAGCTTTGTCCATCAGAGACAGAAAAGCGTGAATAAGCATGTGAACGGGTCGAAGCTTTACAAGACTGATTAAAAAAAGAACACATACTGAAGGAAAGAATAGCAAAAAAAAGTGGAGATGAATTATTTTTGTAGTGAAAAAAAGAAAAAAAAATGATGGTCAGGAGGAGGATTTACAACAATCATCTTTTGCCCTTATGTAGGTTGGGAAAAGTTGGGATTAAGCCAAGTTTGAACAATAAGTCAACAAAAAAGTTAATCCAAAAGACAGAAAACAGTAAATGTAGCATAATGTAGACTGCCAGCATTAAGTAATATCCATTTAATATAATGTTGGTTCTCTGTTTCCAGATAGAAGAGGTTGAACTGTCCTAAGCAGAATTTCTTTAGTGGACTGTTTCTTCCAGTAGTCTTATTTCTGAGGCAGACACTGATGTTGGACAAAGTGTTATGAACTTGCTTTTCACATTTTAATGTAATATTTACCTAGTGAGAGGTTCCTGGCAGCAGGTCTTCACATCCGAGACAATTGACATCATCCAAAAGGTTAAAGGTCAGACTGATGGAAGTACAGATTAGAAAGAAAGAAAGAAAGAGAGAAAGAAAGA